GACAGTAAAAATGCTGAAAATTTTGTCCTGTGAGGCTGGCATGTTGTATATTTCAGAAAGTGCTTTTTATCTCACAGAAACAGCAAAATTATCATATGACAGAGCAGTTGCCATGGCAATTGCACATTTTCTGTCAAAAAGCAAAATGCAGAAAGGTCTAAGTCCAGGTAAAACCCAGACAGGGTTTCTGCTACCAAGGGGTGACTGAAATTTCTGTTACCCAACATTGACAAGTCCCTTTTCATTATTTCATGCAGCACACAGAATAGACAGAATGCAGGAGAGAGAGCTTACATAGGCAAGGAGGAAAGTGAAAAAAACAAAAATTAATAAGCACACAGAATTTACATAGAAATGACAGAATAATGCATTTAGCATGTTCTCAGTGCAAGGGAAAAATAAAACCAAACAAAACTGTAAGAGCACAGGAGATATAAAACATATGAAGAATTATTGTTGTTGTTATTATTAACAAATAAACCAAAGCTTTAACATGCAAAGCACTCTCACCAGTCCATGGGAGTTTTGCCCAAGTAGGAACTGAGAGACAGCTCCATGTACATACAACCCTACTCATCCAGCAGCTGAGACGACACTTGGGCAACAGAGGGACTCCCTGGCCGTTACAGAAGCTCCACAACCACTGAATTCAGCCTTTTCACACTTAATAGATGGACCACCATCCCACAGTTATTCTCCTCTATGGGGTTTTTGTCCAGGTATCCACTTAGAAACTGTTCTCTGCAGATCTGTGCTCCATAGGGAGTGCAAACCTGTAGCTCCTCAATCCACCCCTACACCACTGAGCTGCATCTACAAGTAAGTCAGAGAAAGAACAGGGGAATCCGGCTCTTACCAGCATCAGTATGACTCAGTAATGAAATGCTCAGGATACCTTTCCTTTACTCTCTTTCAGACTTTCACTGTGAAATCCTTACTAGTGCTCCCCATCACCATACAGTAGCTAAGGTCAAGAAATGAGGGGTGGTTTTGACCCTTAGCTGAACTAAGAAGTTCTGAAGAGTTGGAAACATTTAGTTTTCCTCCACAGGTGCCATGGAAATGTTCTTCATCTTGTACAGGCAGCACTCTACTAGAGTTTTTTCTGGACCTCTTAGCTCCTATATAATTTGCTACAGCAATGTCAATATTTCAGATATTTGATGCATTTTTGAGTCAGATGAAGTAGCTCCTGTGAGGTTCAGTGCCAGGGTTTTTAGCATGCTTGTGCTTGCTGCCACAGTTGCCCAGCAACCATCAAGCAAAAATAGGTACCCTGGTGAATGAAAAGAAATTCTGATGAATCTCTCACGAATCTCACACAGGTGACACAATGCTTCCCCCAGGCCAGCTCACTCAGCTTTCTTGCTGCCTAAATTCTAAAGAGAACTGCCAGGAAGTGCCAGGCAATTAACCACTTGGCTATACAGGGATCAATCCAATGGTCTAGTTAGCTAAAAACTCACTCTTTGATAGGGACCAGAATCAGACCTTCAAGAGTTGGTGCAAGAAACTGAAAGTGGGCAGTGTAAGGGTATGTGAAAGGAGTGTGTCTGCTCCTTTAAAGGTGTCTGGTCAAGGACCTTTTTTCAGTGCATCAAGGCAAAATAAGGAGGAAACCATAAACAAGAACATTCAGGGACAGAAACCTGACTGACATGATAACAGAAATGTTGAAAACCAAACTTGGTCAGTCACACTAATTGATGAGGGTGTGTGAGAGTGTGAGAATGTTATCTGATCAGGGATATAGTCAATTGGGAAACCAAGGGAAAAGCAGAAAGCCAGAAACCAAAATACACCAAGACCCAGACCTGACAAAGCAAACATGGAGACAATGACAAGAAACAAACCTCACCAGTCACACTAATTAATGGGCTATCAAGAAACCACAGGTGCCACTTCAAGTAAAATCAACCTGAATTTTGCAACTGATAAGACTGATAAACTGATAAAACTGATAAAATGGGAGGGGGGGGGCTGAACTGGTAGGGATTCAGAAACCGATAGAGCTGTACAAATTCATGGGGGACATGCAGGGGAAGGGGAGAACAGGAACAAAGAAAGAGGTAGACACAAAAGAGTATAAAAGGGGTCAGTCATGTGAAAAATGGGGGCAGTCAGTACGCTTGTCTGGCTGAGCCCTGTGCCTGATCACCGCAGTCTGGCCTATCATTTTATATTTTCTTATTAAATCTTTTCTTAACTATTTCTCTGCATAATCTCACTCTCTAAAAAGCTTGTAACCTTGGCAAATCCAAAAAACCCTGCTATTTTTGATGGAGTAAGAAAGCACTCAACAAATCCATCCTCTTTTTGTGTTCTCTCACTGCCAGATCCAAAACTGTTTCTTGTTTACAATGTCAAAAAGATGATCTGCTGGGATTCTTAACTGTATGGTTTGATCCAAAATGTACACACAGTTGCCTAATTGTGAATGGACAGATAGTATTATTTTCTGATCCCTAAGCACAACCCAGATTCTAAAATGTATATTCTCACTGCCTTAAATGAGATACTTTAAATGTTGAACACATTGTTCAGCTTTCAGCAGAACACAGAGACAGAAGACTGTTGGCAGGGAGAATTGGCAAACTCTTAGTAGAGTATGGTTTCACTGATATTGTTTTCTAGCGTGCATGCATAGCTGAGGATGACAATTGACCTCAGTGGTTCCATTTTGAGGAACAAAAAGGTTTGGCATGGTGAAGCAAGTCTGGTGTGCAAGCTCCAAGATCATGATGGAAATCTAACTTCTTGGTAGATTCCCAATGTGCCATGTAGTCTGTGCCCTTCCAGGGTTCCAAAGAAATCCTTTTTTCCCCCTCAGAAACACGAGAATTATTCTGAATACTGGCAAGTCCAAGGTTATTGTTTTCACATAGTTTCCTTTTCCTTTGGACTGTATTTTGGGAGGGTTGAATGGAGAATAAGAATTGCTCCTCAGGGTCTGAAATATCATGACTTCTGGATTTCCACACAGCCAGTGTTTAACAGCACATGACAATATTATCTACAAGTTTTTTTATAACATTCCTGGCAGCCATATTAATGACAATTACCCACGGACAATTTAAAAGGTTGACTAAAGGTATTGCACAGTTAATGGAAAAATAGGCCTTCTTTGACTAGCAGTTATACACGTAGGCTATTCACTTATCTGGTTATAGAATTTTTTTTAGACATACAAATGTCACATGTATTTTAAATGACTTAAATATTATTTTTCAGAAATCATATCTTAGATCATAAAAGGTTTTGCCCCTTTGTGACACTCAGTTTCTTCCTTTTCCTTACGAAATTCAGCTCTCATTTTATAATCCACAGCAAGATGAAATTTCATGTTCTCTTAATGCTCCATTAGCCTTGTGAACCCCTCCCCATATATTAGAGGAGTTACATGGGGCTACGGAATAGGCAAACATGATCATTTACAAATAAAATAGCATTAGCCGCAACCATGAATTAATAATGGAAACCCTAGACTCTTTTACCTTCACTGCCACCAAGATCTTGTCCTGCTCGGGACAGAGGTTATAGCATTCAGCCAGAAAGACTTTCCCAAAGGCTCCTTCTCCAAGTTCTCTTTTAAGAACAATATTGTGGCGCTTGATGTGCTGAACAACTGTGAACAGAACACAAAATGGAGGTCAAAAGTGAACTGCAAGGCCACAACAGGAAGGGGCTTGTGCTTATGGCCACATGGAGACAGGTTTGTCTGTACAGCACAGTGCATATCATGAAAAGAATCAATGTTGCCTGTATGTCATTCATTAGCAATTTCTCCAAAAAGAATGTGTTGATATATTTATATTTGGAACGTAGTGCATTTGCTGGATAAGAAGAAGATATAGAATTAAGAGTCATCTGGGAAAAAGCTATTTATCATTGTGCTTGGATGAGTGCTGTAGAGCATACATAACAGTGAATGCTGCTGGGTAAACAGTCCAGAGTCTGGGATATATTCAGATGTGGACCAACCTCAGGCTCCATGCTTGACCACATGCATGTTCCAAACTGGGTGTCCATTTACTTAGAAACTACCTTATCTCCATTACTAAAGAATGTAAAAAGGAGTGCTGCTATTAACAGGTGTGGAGAGAAATGAGACAGCCTGTTCCTCTTGCTATCACCAACTTTGGGGTAAGGGGCCACAGTCTATGAAAGGAAAATACATATGTTCCAAATCATAAGTCTGTGAAGATGCAACCTCAGAACACTGCATATATACTTAATAATAACATGTACATGTGTGAGGTGAGCTTGGTGCTGGAATAAACTAGAAGACAGACCTGGGATGCCCTGAGCCACCTCCAACATAAGCCTACCAGGAAGGCAGCACATCTGAGAAGCACACCACCACAAGACTCAGCTGCCACTCAACCAGGTGTCAGAAAAGCCATTGCCAGCATTAAAACAGGCTTGCTGCACATGCTCTGATCCCATGAAGGGATGCTGTGGGGCCCTGAGCTCCCAGCCAGCTACTCCCAGTGTGCCACCACTCACCTGCAGGGCTCGGTAGTGCTAGAGGTGCAATGCCCAGCTGCCCTCTCACAGGTCAGCATGCCATTCTGTCTCTTATTTCCAGGGTGATGACTAAATGTGCTGTTTTCAAAGGGTGGGGAGAGTCTATTAAATATTTCAGTGCTGACATTTTCAAACCATAACAAAAGATAAGCTATGAACAAGGCCTTTGCTGTAGGGTTCTTCCAAATGAGGTTGGGGACATGGGTCTGTAGAGGGTACAGAGCCAATTTTTATTTAGCTTTTTAGCTTCCATTTTGACAGCCTCTAGAGTGCACGGCCTACAAACAGGAGTACTCAATGTACCCTGCACTTGGGTGATATGTATCTGTAAGCCCTCTGGATACCAATATTTCCACTACTCATTCCAATACCCTTTGTCTCCAACACTCTATCAGACACAGACAGAATTGCTGTGATCACATTCATTTCATATAACAGTCAGCTTGTTGGACAGAACAGTATGGAAGAGTGGCTATTTATAATGTTCCAGGCCCACAAAAACCTGTTCCTGCCATTGCTGTGGTTGCAGGGTGAGGCAATTATGAAAACGGTTCTCCTTGTATGACAGGTCTCTCATTAAAACTGAGAAGCCATGCTTTGAAATAATAGCAAAATAGACATTAAATGAGACCACAAGTTACAAACATTTTTTATTCTTGTCAAACTTTGGTATACTGTAAAATTAAGTTATATTATTGCAAGATACACAGACAGAGAAACACAACTTTTTGGCCAGCTGCTAAAATGCTGAGCAGCTTCCCTACAGTCAGTAGGAATATACTCTTTATTTTCATTTCCTTCTCAGCACTGGCTTTTTAAATAAAGCATAAAATACAGTTATCACAAGAGACAGGCCTGAACCAAAACACATCTTTTCCTCACAGATGCAAATTAACTGGCCTACTTCACCTTTACTAATATTCATAAAAAAACAAATGTCAAGGCTGAATTACTGTTCTGGAGTGTTACCTAAATACAGGATACGTGATATCTCAAACATAATTTAAGCAGAGGGTCCAGATATCATGGATCATATCAGGCCTGAAATGTTCTGCCATTGTGCAGTATCATATAAGTTGCCCTGCTTTCCTTCAGTTTTTCTAATTGTTCATGTCTCAATACACAGGAAATAAGTCAGTAAACAGTCCCTAATTAGTGTTAGTACAGAGGTCTTCAATTACAGCTAAAGATGCAAGGATTATTTTTTAAATGAAAGCCATTCAAAACTCTTTGGTTGATTACAGTTTTACAAATGTTTCCCTATGCTTGTATTAGAAAAGTGTGTCAAGTTGACAGCCTGTAATTATATTTGGTTGTTGTGAGGGAATCCAATTATGGTCAGACTGGTCCATTTGAGTGGGAGGAGATGGAGACTGTGAAGAGTTTTGAAGATTTCTTTTCTACTAGAGAGGCAGGACTCCTTTCCACCCGAGTCCTAGAGGCCCTTCCGTGCCTTCCAATGCCATCGGGAGTCAGGACAGCAGGCAGTGGTGAGGGATTAGGAGTTGAGCTCCCAGACAGACAGCCTAACCCAGATTTTTCACCTTATGGATATCATGTGGGCTAAAAGGCCACTGTGACCTGTACTTTAAAAAATGCTTACTAATAAATGAGCCATTATTTTTTGCCAGCATTAGAACTTGCCTTTCATCAGCTGTTCTCATCAGGGCAGAGACTGAAACCATGAGGTCCTGTTTTGTTCCTGTTCATGTTCAGCCAAAACTGTCATTGTCCTACCTCTTTGGGGATTTCTAAAAACTCTACTTCCTCAATAGTACTACAAGGCTGTCTCCCTTCCTTTACTAGAGAGAGGAGAAGTTTAGCTCCACATTACAAATGTCATAATTTAAAAATGCTCATAAACCCCATTAACTTTCGTAGGCAGAGAGCATGGCTAAAATCCTGGCCTACTAGAGTCAGCAGCAAAACACCACTTCAGTAGAGGCAGGTTTTCCTTTCATTCTCTTTAATACCACCATCAAAGACCTGATGATAAACACACTCAACCTCTTAAATTTTATTTGGGTCCTCTCCATTTTGAACACAGAATAGCACTGAACATCACTTATTACCCTAGTGATAAAGAGACTTTTTTGTCAAGATCCTGGAGGGAGGACTTCACAAACAATGTAGAGTGAAAATAGATAAGAAACATGAAATACTTCTGTACAGTACACTTAGAGCTGCTGTTAAATGCTTTTATATAAACCAAGCATTTAAATAAACAGCCTGTCCCATACCAAAATGTCAAATGCAAAACACAGCAAGCCACAGAAGAGATCTGTACAGAATATGTTCGCAACTTGTCACACTCTATCCATCCCTGTTACCTTTCTGAGCTGAACTGAGTTACTAAATAAATAAAAAATGACAGTAAATATGACTAAATGGGCTGCTCAAAGCCCTGTCCAACTTGACCTTGAA